CAAAGGTGTTTAGCGGAGGCTGTCAATCACTTGGATTGCACTATTGACTTATGGGACACCACTTATCATGTTTTTTCACAATAGACAAAAACGATCGTGTTTCTGGCAAATTGTGCATTTGAATTTTCCGCATCGATTTTGGGGGAAATAATTGTCCAAAAATGTTATCTTTTGGGCCCTAATACTGGTAATATTTCTTATGTTTCTCATTGTAATTATAATTCACTAAAGTAGATTGTTGTGCGGTTATCCAGATATGCCTTTATACTTCAGATCGAGTTTGAATATCTTTTAGTCTTTAGACTTATTTTTTATTCAATTGCAAGAATTGTTTTCACCTGTTTGTTTTGTTTTGTTGTTTGTTGAATTCACACTCCAAAAGAAAGAAAAGCTTTGATTATCAGCCATTCATTTAATGGGAATACTGTAAAATACATTTTAATTTTGTTTCATGAGACAATTTTTTTTTTAGTCCCTGTTCGAGCGCAGTCTGGAAACGAGGACTTATGTTTTGACCTCTGTGCATTCGTGCTTCCGTGCGTGCGTGCGTCCGGACCTGTATCTTAGTATATACGTTGGACATTATAGAACCTTGATGCACATAATTTTGTTTTCAGATGAGATTCAAAATGGTCGACTGGCGGCCATTTTGTTTTAATAAATATGGTTCTAGTGGCATATCTCTGACTTGCTGTGACTGATTATGTTCAAATTTTAAATATTCATTATACATCATGTCATAGATATACAGATATATTGGTTTGACGATCCTATTAAAAATAGCCGAATGGTGGCCATTTTTGTGCTAAAAAAATCATCAAAATCAAGCATTTCTCGGCTATTTACAGATGGATTTTGTTCAAACTTGGTATATATGTTGGACATTATAGGACCTTGTTGCACATCATTTTGTTTTTCAGATGAGATTCAAAATGGCCGACTGGCGGCCGTTTGGTTTTAATGATTGTGCTTCTAGTGCCATATCTCTGACTTGCTTCGACTGATTATGTTCAAATTTTAAATATTCATTATACATGTATTCAAAATGGCTGCTTTTGTTTTAATTAATGCTGTTCCAGAGCAATATCTCTTCAATACTCGTTTGACGATCAGATACAAATGTCAATCATTTAAATGTTAAACAATCATCATAATCATATTCCTGACATGTTTATATATTCCAGCTATATTACTATAAACAAAACTATATATCTTAAATTCGATAACTAACAGGGACTGTGCCATGCATGGCTTGTATTTTTACAGTTTACAGATGCCACATTTATCTGATTAATTTGAAATATGCTATGTTGTATTTCTAGAAAGAACTCCTTCAGATAGCAAACATTTTTTGATAAAGCCAATGTATAGCCAGTGTTTATAATGAAAAAAATAAAATAATGTTGATCAGTTACATGGTTTTTCTCCTGCAATATTTCCATAAATTTTCATAAAAAATTTCTACAAATTGGAGCATTTGTCTGTCATGAATGCTTGCCTTTTTGCATGTAACATGTATGACTAAAGCATTTTCTGTGAATAATATGCATATCAGTGGGTACATGTTAAAAGCATATTCAGCCTTCAAACTTATAAATTATTGAATCTTGAACGCATTCTACTATTGAACGCCGTAAATAATTATTTAAGCAGTATATAAGTTTATTTGACATTCAATATCCAAAGTCAAATATAAAGGGACTTTCAATATGCAAATGAGTGTTACCGAAGGCATAACAAACACTGCTGACAATGTTGTTAAATATTGTAATTTCTAGGGAGATAGAGAGGTAATGGTTTTCCTGAACAGTTTATTTTAGTAAAAGTGATTGGACATTCATTCATTCAGTCAATTCCACTAAAAACTGTAAACTATAATGTCATGAGGGGCACGTTTTATCAATTTTGCCAGTCTGAAAATCAAGAAATTATGTAGCAGTAAAAAAATTGACTGAGTCACAGTGACTTTTGCAAAAAGATTTTTTCAATTAAATTGCAAACTTTTTCTAAAATAGAAAAATAAATAGATTGTAGTGCTTCAGTCATTAGACTTGCATCATGACTCGGCAG